ACTATTACTACAATTTGGTGCCATTGTCTCATTCCTGCTAAGTTGCCAACAGTTTTATTACCCACAGTTGCTTTTGTATCTTGAGTGCAAATGGCAACATAGTTAAAAGGAAAAATAATGTATCGGTATTATTATAGAAGTGGTTTTGTTCTTGAAGACCCGAGGGGTTCGTGGACCATGTGTTGAGAACCACTATCCTAAGGGAAAAGAATGTCTAGAGTAGATGTAGGAGTAGGGATTACTAGGGACAGATGTGTTTAGCAGGTAGAATCATGGGGCTAACAGTGTTCCTGCTACTGAGGGTCTGGTCCACTTCTAGGTTATCCTAACAGGCAAGGTAGGCCAAGTCACTTTGGAAGCCATAGATCTATTTAGGGGATGAATCTCTTAATCTGCTGTCAAACCCCAGTCCAAATGAATTCAATGTGGGTCGGGAAGTTTGGGCTAGCTCTTCTAAGACCACTCAAAATTAGATGGTTCCATTAAATTCAGCTTTTATAGTCTGTTATGTGCCAAGAACTGGACAGGTTATAGAGAAAGAAACAAATTATTAAGCTGTGGCCTCTGACACATAGGAATTGAAGGATACGGAAACATAATAAAAGAATATGGAAACAATAGAGTGATAATATAATGTACAAAATCCTAAGTATTAAATGAGGTTCAAAGTGCTGTGGGAGCACTGAAGAGGAAATGAACCACGACTGGAGAATTCAGGAAAGATTTCTGAAAACTTGGAGCTGGGCTTTGAAGGATGAGTATCATTTTGAGAGGAGAGAGGGAAATCAAAGTTCTTAGTATAGTCTTGGGTGACTGGAGAGCATTCTGTACAGCTAGTAAATGAGCTGTGCTAACTCAGTACCTCTCCACCCAATGACTGTAACTTGTTTTTGTTGAGGGGGTTGATTGCCAGTTTATCCTTTCAGGACCAGTACACAAAGACTCATGTCATTTAGTATTCATTTATCCATAAAATTGTCCAAAATTTAGGAAAGAGATTTCTTCATGGGTCTTCTCTTTTTATTTTATTTTTAAGATTTTATTTATTTATTTGAGAGAGGGAGAGAGCATGAGTGAGGGTGTGGGGCAGAGGGAGAAGGAGAAGCAGACTCCCCACTGAGCAGGGAGCCCAATATCAGGCCCAATATTCCAGGACCTTGAGATCGTGACCTGAGCCAAAGGCAGACACTTAACCGACTGAGCCACCCAGGCGCCCCATGCATGGGTCTTTTCTAATAAAAGTTATCTTTTTATCTGCACAGCAGAGAAAGAAGCCCTCTTTCAGATCTCTCAGTTCAATACCCCAAACCTTTAGTGAATGACTACTGTGCGCATGGTGTATGTTATTTTTGACAAGAGTACCACAATAAAGACATAGTCCCTGCCTTCACAGAAGTCAGGGTATCAGAGGTGTCAATGTGTATACCCCTAATGGCAAAGCATATTACAGATTCTATAAAAGATAAAACGTGCTTAGGGATTCCTAGCTTGGGGAACTGGTACCATGGGAGTCCTATGCAGCAGGAGGCATGTGGGGAAAAGATAAAGGGTTTGGTTTAGCTGTTGGAAGTGTCTGTGGAGAGGGCACTGGAGAGGCAATTGAGAACAAGGTCAGGGCTGAGATACAGATTTGGGGCTCATCCATAAATGGCTGCTGAAACCATAAAGCATTGTACTTCCCTAGGGAGACTAGGGTTTCAACCTCGGCACTATTGACATTTTGGTCTTTATAATTCTTATGGGAGGGCTGTCTTTTGCATGTAGGAAATAGCATCCTTGGCCTCCACCCACTGGATGCCAGGAGCACATCCCCCCCCCCAGTTGTGACAACCCAAAATGCCTCCATATGTTGTCACATGTCCCTTGGAGGGCAAAATCAGCCTTGCCTCATAGAGGACTATTGCTCCAGGAGAGTGCAGTGTCCGAAGGGACAACGGCCACGGGTGGAAACTTCTGGCTCTAAAAGCACAGTTAGAAAGGGAAAGAGACACTGGGAGTGATGGGGGTGACTGTTACAGATGGGGTGGCCAGCAGTGTAATAGTCTACAAAGGGTTTGGAGACAAAAGAGGCCTTGGCAGTGGTGAGAGCTTTATGATCCTTTAGGGAGCAATTCCAGTTGCACCTCCTGAATGTGCCTTTTCCTTGTTTTCCAGCCCTTCCCAGAGAGGTACAGGAGTAAACTGCCACTTGGGCCATAAATAAGGTTGGGATAGATGTCAGGCACCCCCAAAGTTTCCCTGGTTGCTTTGCAGGCTGTTAATATTCCTCTTTCACTATTTTCTCATTCTATTTTCTCTATTAATCTCCTTTTTCATTTGCAAAGTGCTTTAGCAGAAATACAGAAATATATATCCAGATTATTTAATCCCAATAATAACCCCGCAAAGCAGCTTTCATTCTTCTTCCCATTTTGCAGATGAGGAAACTGGAGCTCCTAGAGGGAAGTGGCTTGCCCAAGACTACACAGCCAGGGAGTAGTAGAGCTGATACCTAAACCTTCTGGTCACACAGGGACTGAGAACATTCTTCATCGCACCATGATTCCTTCTTTGGCTACAATGCCTACCTACCACCTAGCATTTTTCTTTGCAAAGTGACTGATACTCCATTTCTCCATGGAGCCTTCCTTGATCTTGCACCTTGCCCATAGTACCATTTCTTTTTTCTTTTTTTCTTTCTTTTTTTAAAGTAAGCTGTAGGCCCAATGTGGCTTGAACTCACGCCCCCAAGATCAAGAGTCAGCATGTTCTTCTGACTGAGCCAGCCAGCCCCCCTACCCACCCCACTCCCCACCATATTACCATTTCTGCTCATTGTGCGTTGTTTGGTGCCTTACTGAATGGCTCTTCCTGTGAGGGTGCTAGCAAGGTGGTCTCTTGACAAAGGGAAGCATTGTGATGTGTATACAGGTGAGGCCAAGCCTGCAGGGATTCTGCACGGTGAAGAGGAGGATGAACAGGTTGCAGTTCCAACTGTGGGCGCTGGAGAATCTCCCTAATGGATGCTGGGTTTAGGCGAAGGGTCAGCTCCATCAGGGACATCAATGTATGTCCCAGGCTGGCAGTGGCATACTAGACCCCAGTAACTCCTCAACAACTGTAACCCTGATTTCCACCCTGGAAATCCTCCTCCATGTCTTTCTGCCCTCCTCAGCCATCCTACTCTGGCCCTTTGTTTCTTGGCACCTTTCATGTTTCTCTACCCACCATCACACTTAGCATCTGGAATTCTTAATAAGAGTAATCATCATAGCCACCATATACTGAGGGCTGTCTCAGTACCAGGCACAGACAGTGAGGTAACTGAGGTTTAGAGATGTCACATCAGTCTGTCCAAGGCCACACGAATATTAAGGTATAGAACAGTGTGTCTAATAGAAATATAATTTGAAGCACATTTGTAATTTTAAATTTCCTACTGGCCAAATTAAAAGAAAAGAAACAGGTGAAATTTAACTTTTAAAATTTAACTCAATATACCTACAACATTATTTCAGCATGTCATCAGTATGTAAAATTACCGAAGAGATATTTACATTCTTTTTTGCATAGTAAGTCCTTGAAATACTTGGGGCACCTGGGTGGCTCAGTCATTTGAGCATCCCACTCTTGATTTCGGCTCAGATCATGATCTCAGGGTCATGAGATTGAGCCCTGGTGTAGGGTGCCACACTCAGAGGGGAGTCTGCTTGAGATTCTCTCTCCCTCTCCCTCTGCCCCTCCCCCTTCATGTGTGCGCGTGCTCTCTCTCTCAAATAAATAAATCTTAAGGAAAAAAAAAGAAATACGGCGTGTACTCTTCCACCACTTCTCAATTCAGACTAGCCACAGTTCAAGTGCTCACCAGCCACATGTGGTCAGTGGCTACTGTACTGGACAGCACAAGGACAGATCAAGGATTCTGACCCACCTCTAAGGATGGTGAGAAGTGGGGCAGCCACATTCTCTGGGAAAGCAGGCTGGTACTGTCCACCAAATTTCAGGCTTGCAAAATATAATAATCTTATCCAATTGGAGATAAGATTTCATTATAAAGTAGAATAAAGCATCTCAAAACAGAGGTCCAAAATTTGTTAATTCCTTTAAGTAAGTATGTGTTAGAGAAGCTGACGTTTCCCTCTTAGAACTGACACTGATACTTCTGGGATGGGACAGGAATGTTTCTTCCATTTTGCATGGCCCTGTTATTGTTCTGTCTTAATAAATACCATCTGGGAAGACTAGATTTTCTGTGGCCTGGAGCCAGGTGGTGGAAAATCCTTTGCTCTGGGGCCCTTCTCTGTCCATAGGGCAGGTCTCTGACCATTTCTCACGGGGCTCACCAATCCCTCATGGCGGGTCCTGAAGGGACTATTGAACTCTGGAAGGAAAGAAGGGACTGGTAGGCCAGCATTTCCTGGTTCCAACAGTGGACAGGCCTTCCTCCCGGACACTGTGCCAGGCACACTGCATGTGCTAACCTTTTACCCCTCCCCACCATCCTCTGAGGTCAACATTAGCACCTGCAAGCCCCAAAGAGGTGAAGAGGTTCATTCAGGGTCACAGAGCTAGTAACCCAGAGCTTTCTGACACCATAGCCCCGGATCACAGCAGTCCAGCCTTTGGGGGTTTTAATACTTTCTGCCCACCCACGAACATGGGAACAGGGGTTGCCAGCAAGAAATTTTCATATCTGTGTTCTGTTTCCATGTGAACTACCCCTGGTGGGGTACTTAGAATTGACTTCAGTCTCTAAGATTTGAGATCAGATATTCAGGACATGAAAGAAAGAAAGAAGGAAAGAAAGAAAGAAGGAAAGAAAGAAAGAAAGGAAAAAAAGAAAGAAAGAAAGAAAGAAAGAAAGAAAGAAAGAAAGAAAGAAAGAAAGAAAGAAAGAAAAGAAAAGAAAGAAAGAAAAGAAAAAGGAGACAGCCTCCCTCTCTGTATCAGGAGGTCCAGCCTCAGGAAACTTAGGAGGGCTGCTCGATCTTTCTTTTCTTGTTCCTGACGAGTTAGAAGATCTTTGGTGCCCGGGAGCCCTGTGGCTTTAAGCCCGAGCCCTGGTTTGGGAGGAGACTGGGAGGGCGACGGAGGGTGCCCGCCTACCTGGGGGAACCTGCTGGAGGTGAGGCTGGAGCGGCTCGGGATGCGAGGCGGGCGGGGGCAGGCTGAAAGTTGGAGCAAGCAGGAAGTGAAGCGAGGGCGGCCCGGGAGGAAACAGACTAGGCGAGCCCCGTCGCGGACAGGCCCGAGCCGCTGGGAGACATGGTGAGCGAGCTGCGACCAGAAAGGGGCTGATTCAAAGACGAGTCAGAGTGGGCT